AAATGCATGCAGCGATATTTCTTTATTGAAACTTTACAAAAGATCATTTAGAACTTGATACTAAAATGTTCAAGTTGAGGCTAAAGTCTTTTAATACGACTTCGCCCGAATCATCATTTGTGTGAACTTAAGCGGTTTCAAATGCCATTCATCCCATGATATGCTTTCATCATTTTGCTCAACATCTAGGGCATATCGCCCGTTTAAATTACTGTAATTATAAAAAAGATCATGAGCCATGCAGTTTCAGGTAATTTTTGTTTAGTGTTACCATCTATAGCAATTATAAAACCACCATCCAGACTCGTAATCTTTTGCACAGTCCCCCTTGCTCGTATCGTTATCCTGATCTTTTGTTGAAAATTTCATATTCAAATGATATTTTAGGGCATCGCCAGCATTTCCTGAATAATTGCCAAGCTTTTCAAGCACGTACGACTCTTCTTCGCTGCCAATAAGAAAATTGCTGTAACGAGCATAACGGGTCTCATTATTAAAGTCCTCCATGTGTATATATAACTCATGCGGCTGCGATTGTGTAATTAAATAGATATAATCCAATCCGATAAAATATTCATGTAGTGGATTCCCAAATCCTTTTTTGTATTCCTTCCAGTTGCGATTGAAGTTTTCAGTTCCATCAACTCGACGTTGAATCATGATCCAACCAGGTCCCGCTATCGTGGAGTCACAGGGCACGAGGATAGGGTCAGTGTGGGGCAACTTAAGTATAGATGCAATCGAATTATTTTGGCAGTCAGATCCTCCTAACAGACGCAGAACTTTTGATTGTTCAGCCAGTTCTTTATCTTTTAATTCGATTATTTTCTGTAGATATTCTTGGGTCGCCAAATGTGTATCATTCTTAACCTTCGCGAACACAGATGAGAGTTTAATATTTATATATATTTATAATGTATATACTTTATACTTACCGAATATGCCATTGCCACTAAATTGAAGGCTGATATAAATATCATTGAAATGGCAAACAGCTGGAGGTATTTGCCCATGTTTTAACTAAATCGACTTCGCAACTGTACACAATTGAGTCTGTCTCGAACTGATCAAACCACTGAGCTCATCTTAAATAAGAAACCTCGCTTTTCGCATTTCGTAATTTCTCAATAGCATTTATTAAGCAGAAAGGCTAAGCTTATCAATTTCCGACTAATAAATTTGAGTGTCGTCATTGCAATGTTTTTGATAATAAAAAAAAAATTAATCTGTGGTGGTTAACTAGAATTTGCTCTAATCTTTGCCCTATCTAGGCACAAATACAAAATAAATAAGCAGCATAAGAGCTAATAGAATTCAAATGAATAATTAAATGAGTACAACACAGATGGATTATTGAGAAACATGTATGAATGTTGCCGTCGGGCGTTACCGATTGCAGAATACTCATTCATAGTATTACAGTAATAAATTATTAGTTTTTCTTCAAGTAGTCTTCATTAATGTCGTCATATCGAATCGGCAATTTGCAAATGATTTCGTATGCGGAATTCAAAACTTACTTGATGCTCTGGTATTTACCTGTTTCACTCTCTTTTTGTTGAAACAGCACAGAGTGCTGCTTGGCTCGATGTCTGGACTAAGTTGACCACTCGCATCAACACCTCATCACACACAACTGGCCCCTCGGACTCATGAGTGTCCAGCAGCGCAGAGCTTTTGTTTGTCTACAGGCGGCACTGTGTAGAGGGGGGGTGTGGAGAGAGCCGGAGTGTCAAGTGATGGGGTCCTCAAGTGACAGAGCAGTAAAATTGCGCTCCCGAAATCGACAATACGTCGCCTGAATTGTAATGCCGGAGAGAGTTTGATTGGGATTGGGATTGGGTCTGTGGGATCGGATGTTAAACTGTCCCGGGGCCAACGTCAGCGATAACCGGCAATCGCCTGGCAAATTGGAACGTCCGTCTTCTGTCTGTCTGCTCGCTGGTCTGCCTGACTGACTGGATAGCTGGATGGCTGGCAGCGCCTGCCTGTTGGCCAAATCAAATAACAAATGATTCTCCCCGCTCTGTAGTGCGACTGCCGCTGTGATTGGGCAGCGACTGATGAGTGCCAGCCACGCGAGAAAATCGAATGAAAACCCATTCCCTTTGCGCGACATTCAATGGATTTATTATGTGGCTGCATCTGCACTCAAATGTTTGCATTGCATTTCCATAGCCCGACGCCTTCGCACAAACACTCAAGTGTGCGTATGAATCTCTGAGTGCTTGAAGAAAGTCCATTTACAATAATATTGTCCTTTTCACGGTGCTGCCAGTTAAGTTAAATTAGCTGGGCGGTAATCTGGCGTTATTCATTTCGTTTTTCTGAACAATTTTTTCAATTGTGGATTAAAAAAAAGCGATTTCAGAAATGTCAGACATAAAATAATAAGAGCTCAAATTTATTGTAGATAATAAATTCAAAATATGGCATATCTTTTTTTTATGGCATTTACTTCTATCAGTTTCTTTGGGGTGAATGCTTATATTATTTTTATAATTTTCATGACTGCATTTATAAATGCAAACTTAAGATTTTAGTATAAATTATTTAATTATCTAAAAAAAAAAAAAATATTATTACATATTATTATTTTATATATATTTATACATAAAGTATATTTTGCGTCTTTTAATGAAGTTGTTGAGGCTCCTAATGGGATTTTAGAAAGATGTTAATAGCATTATAATATTTTCAGCTCATATTCATAATCAAATAATTAATTAATTATATATTTCTAATGAAAACAGGATTTACTAAGTGACATGAATTGCTAAGTAATAATATATTGTTCTACTTCCATATATGTCAAAATATATTCTGTAATTATTAAGAATTTTTTTTGGTTTTATTTTTTTGTTAACATATGTTCTTACTCATAATTTATTATTAATTTATGTATTCAATAATCGTGAAATTAATTGACCTTAGCTTATATTTCTATACATATTTCTATGATTTCCCTACTTCTGCCTTCAATTTCCTTAACTTTTTCTTGATTATCTGAAAACTTTGCTCAAGTTGCATTTATTTTCACCAAAATTTAAGAGATTTGTTGTGTGTTTTTATATACCCTATGCGTTATTTCCCTTGACAATAGAATGCCTTCTTTTTATAGCTTGCATGTATTTTTATACCCATACATATGTGTGTGAAATATTTGTTTAGATGCAGTCAGGAATTTATGTTTGAATAATCTACTCGTCAAAAAATTTGTTGAGCATACTGTCATATATTTGTTTTTTTTTTTTTTTTATTTTGCTTCGCGTTATGCTCTTTCTGAAAGTGTTTGCAGCCTGGGAAATTTTCTTCAAAATTCAGTATATTTTTCAGGCAGCCCAGACTTGACTCCATAAAATTATCTATGTGTGCAGACAAAACAGCGGAGACATGAAAAACGACAATAGAAGAGCAGAAAAGAAGAGCGAACGAATGGCACGGCTATACAGAATGGCGGCGATAAAAATGCAATAAAATGGCGACGGTGCCGGGCGATAGCGTTTTGAGATGGGGCGGCCAGACCGAGGGTTACAAATGCTCCCACTGTGTATTGTAATCACTCAGTTGGCCTCGCTTTCCGGGTTCCGCTATGCATGTGGCCCGCCGTTTATCTAAAGTGTTTTGCTGAAGGGTTTCGCTGTGGTTGAGCTGCCTGGCCAAGGGGTGGGGTATGGCGGGATAGCGACTGAGAGATGGAAGCTTTGTAATGGATACTCCCAGTGTAATCATGTTTGCCATAGAATATGGCTAAAAGGAAATATTAAGAACTGACCGTATTATAAATTTCATAATTAATTTGTGTAACGGGAGGATCTTGAGTGGATACAAAACATAAAAGAGAGAGAGGCAAGGAGTAAGGCGAGAGAGGCAGAGAGAGAGACAGAAGGAGAGAGTGTAAGAGAGAGACAATCTCTACAGAGAATGAGATAGATTGATAGAGGGAGAGTAGAGAATGATAGAGAGAGAGAGAGAGAGTATTTGGATTTGTATTTTCTATAAAGCTGAAAAAGGTCTTTTCAGTCTACAATTGATTTCTTTTATTTTTATTTATTTATTTTTTAATTCTTTTTTTGTTTTCATCATGTGGAGAGTCAGTAAATCAGCTAATTTTTATCTTTACAATCACACAGCACAAAATAAAAATATATGTGCATCGAAATATTTGTATTTTTATCTATTTCTTTACTATATTATATAATACTGGTCATACATATAGTCTCAGCTGTAGTAGTACGAAAAAAAAGAGGAGTGCATTTAAAATATTATAAAAATATAGTTTAATTGTTTTTTTTTAATTATTTTTTATAAATAATTATTTAATATAAGACTTTAAAAATATTGATAATTTTTTTGATTTAATATTTAACTTTTGTCCAGCAAAACATATATTTTATATTTGCAACCAAAATTGATATAATTAAGCAGTAACGAAATAATGTAACACAAATTGGTTTTGATTTTCTGTATATTCAGTAGAGAGAGCGAGACAGGATTCAGAATTCTTAATCAATACACAATCAAATTAAATTATGGCTCTTAAAATGTCCATATCATGTTTTTAATTGTATTATTCAATTGAATATTATTTCCACTCTCTCGCCCACTTTGTCAGTTCATATATGTGTGGAAATTTAAAAGGCAAAACAAATTGTTTTCTTTTTCGTTTTATTGTCTCCATAAATTCTGATAAACAAGTGCAGCAGAGGAAGTTTCTCTATCAACGCCTGCTCTAAAATAGTCCCAGCCATTGGCAGCGGCTCTTCAGTTTCGGGCAGTGGCTGTTGAGCAACAGCTTTACGAAACTGTCGGCCCACAGGGCGATAAACGCAGCCGTTTGTAATGACAGACAGTTGGGAGCTCGTTTTAGGAAGCGTCAGTCAGTTAAGCCTCTGGCCGAAGTGAGTTGTCTGGACCAAACGCTGGCCTCATCCATATAACGAACAAGTGCAACTGCAGCTGCTCTGCTCTGCTCTGCTCTGCTCTCTGTCTAATTTAATTAAAATTAACTTAAAGCAGCCCAAGGGCAACGAGGCCGACCATTGCTAGTTGCCCGTGCTGCTGGCCAATATGTTATGCTTTTAATTTGTTAATTCATTTTCTGGCTGCAGCTGGAGTGGGCGGCAAGCGAGCTAACTAAGTGCAACAAGCCGCTGTGCAGCTGCCACACATGGACACTGCGTGCACTTTTGCAGCATTTGATTTCGTTTGCTTTATTTAACTGCATTCGCTTTTCTATTCACTCTTTTTGTGCTGTTCCGAGTGCAATGAAAAATGGCTAAACGTTGTTTATTTGCACAGCTAATAGCAGCTGCTTCACACACACACACACCCACTCATAAACACACACATGTGCACCTGTAAGCGCTTTAAAAGACGTTTCAGGATTTCTTTTTTGTTCGGTACGTTCGCAATGAGCACAAAATAATATAATATTATATTCTATATGTGTGTGTAGGTATTTTTTTATATTCACATATTTTGATATATTAAGCATGTAAACTGACGGCACACATCATCAGCAGAGCCAACTTGCGAGTCTGTGTCTTATGCCAGAGGAAAATGCTCGCAATGGTTTCCTTCCTGACTTCCTACGGCTGACTGGGCCATAAATTTGTCGGCCAACCTTTTGCAATTTACGCATCTGCTGAGACGGTGTTTGCTC